CTCGGAACATAAATATTTATTTCATAAACATGAGTGAAAAATTGTCTGTCTCTCATCCACAAAAAAATGACGTACGCCCTACAGGCTGAGAAGTCAATACAAATCAACCCTGCACTATAATTGCATTTGGAGTTTCAATAAACATAGTTTGATTCGAAATAGTATGAAAATGAAATTTCATGAAATCAGCTGTTGATCAAAGTCGAACAACCTCATTATGTGTTACTAAATTTGATCCCTTTGAATGTGATATCGTACGGAAGTGCGTGACCCCCTGATGGCTTTTATCAAGGGATAAAAATGGTTGAATCGAGGTGAAATGTAAACCCGGCCAACCCGCTAACTTCGTTACTACTATTGAATCACTTTCTGGTGGCATTTTCCAGGCGGAAAGCAGCCCAAACAAATTAAAACTGCTTCAGATTAAAGAGGTTTTAGATACACTATTAAAACCATGTATCGTCAGTTGAAGGGGAAATTACTGAAATATTCAATATATCTTATGAGATATACGGAAGGAAAAGGCCAAGGAAAGATAACTCCACGCAGCGATCACGTGTTAACACCCAGACTATTTTAATTTTTTTCCGGGGATGTTTTTTCCTCCGGGTTGTTCTTGAGATTCATTCATTTTACTCTATGGTAGATTATTTTCGACGGAAATTCAACAGTAGATATCTTCATTTGTCAGGATTTTCCAAATAAAACAGTCTGACGGCCTCGAATACACTTTGGACGACTGACATTTCGAGAGAAAAAGATAATCTCTAACTGTTCGTTGTATCGTTTTTTTTATGATGCAGATCTATATGCTTTGGTTTTGAAAAATATTGATAACTTTTTACAGGAAATTTGTTTGAAAATTTCGAGGTACCAGTGACCTTCTGATACTCATGAATCAGTATCGCACGAGAAAGGAATGTCTACACTCTACGAAATACTTTAGGAGAATGAATGTCGGTCACAAAGACTACAAGTAGATCGCCATTGAAGGTATTTCTGTTCTTTCTTTCTATGAAAACTGATTCTAGAGTCGAGTATATACTGTTCAATTTGAAAGAGCTTTATCGGGAGGTGCCCCCTCGGCTTGTCTCGTCTCGTCTATCGCTCGGCCGTGCGTGTCCTACGACTCTCTCTAAAAACATTACCCCACTCGTATTAACATTCCCCCTTTTTCACACTTGTAACGTAATGTACTATTTCACTTGACTCGCTTGAAAATACTCGTGGCAACACCGTACAATCATGAGCGCCGTAACCATAACCGTTTTTGTGACGCCCATTTTTATTCCCAGTTCACGTCGATTTCGGACAGATATTGATAATAATTTTAAAAAACTAAACAATAACTCATAGTTCAACAAATGTCAATATTTTGTATCAATTTTTTTACCCATTTAGTAAAAAATTCGGATTTTAATCTTTGATTTGAACTATTCGTCGATATCCCTTGCCTATTGAATATCTTGAGTTTCAGAACATTATTATTTATAAAAATAAAAACGACAATTGAATCTCATCCAGTTTTCAGGTAAATGTTTGAAATGTTTTTTAAATATTTATAATTGAAAAATAGCCTCTTAAGTGTGGAGCTACTTCAATGTACCTCTCTCCCATTGAAATTCAACTTTTCCGTGTTCTGCTCAATATAATTTACTCATTTCCTGGAAAACAAAATAGGAGGTAAATATATGAACTTTCAGTCAATTTCATCCACAACTTCTGTTCGTGCCGAGGGGAATTCCAAAATCTGTGTGTGATCCCACATGTGACACGCAACGTGAAAAATCTGATTAATCATTTACACTCTTATTTATGTCATGTATTTTAAAATATAAATCAAGTTTTTTTCATTTAGGCCACGGATCTCTAAGGATGCGATATTGAATACATATCCTACTCAAAGTGATCAAATGCCACAAGTAAAAGGACCAAACACCTTCTGGATCTTCGGCAAGATACACTGATAGAATGGATTAGTTATTGTTACCAGAATGGGTTTTGGTTGGAGGTTCAGGTCTATTCGGTCTCACCAAATGTTCATTCGTTAATAGTTAACGAATGTATATTTGAGGAGCCTTATTTGACTTGACATTCGCCATTCAAGTGAACCATTCGTTAACTATTAACGAATATTCATTTGGTCATATTCAACTCTACCATTCGTTAATAGTTAACGAATCTCGTTTGGAATAAATGAATCAGTCTATCAGTGTACAAAACAGTGAAAAGCTGGTACCATGACAGGCAGCAATGGGTTAAAATCGAAAAAAGCAAGATAATGTTGCCGACACGGAAAAGAAGAGGGAAGTTGCTCTGCATGTGCTCGATGATTCATATAATACGATATTCTCTCTTGAAATTCTAGCATTCGATTCAGCCCTGGAGCTACCCATTTCGCCGTATCTACTCCTTGAAATGCAATAAAGTACGCCGCTCCCTCATTTTCCGTATATTGGGCTCTAAAGTGATATTTATTTGATTCATTGCTAGTTTATTTGATAACTTCTGAAGTTCGGCGGGAACGAGAGAGGCGGAGAAAACGAGGGGAAATTGCGTTTAACGAGGGAATTTGATCCAGAAGGAATTGGAGAGATATGAGAAAGATTGAATGATCGGAGAATTAAGGTTTGAACCAACTGAGAGGGATCTTACGAGGCCTGCACGTTAGATTAGGACATTATCAGTGTGATTTATCTCAAGGTGTTCGATATCAACACAAACCACCCTTGGAAAAAAAGAAGCCGAAAAAGAAATAAATGCCACATTCTGCTTGAATCAGTATGGGACTGAGTTATAGTGATTATCACAAAAGGGGGTGCTTCCTAAAAGGAAATTTTAAATACCATTTTGCACTTCAGAATACCCTTCAGGATATTCTCTCAGCTATATCATATTTCATTCACCACTTCATATTTTATATTTTATTAACCCCTTCTCTATTAACCACATATTTTATATTTTATTCATATTTTATTAACCACTTAAATATGAGGTATTCCGTGTCAAATTGGGCAGTACGTGATTTTCCTGCTAGCGGTCGAAAATAAATTGTTTTTTTTTGTGGTTTGAGCGGTAAGATGAAATCATTTTTGAATTCCTAGATGCATTCAATGATCAATTTTCAACAAAAAAAAATTTGAAAAACTTGTCAAGTTACCATTTCTTATCCAAGTTTTAGAAACTAATTGCGTTGAAAAATGAAAGAAGACATCGTTCTCATCTCTGATGATTTCTACTCTGAAGATTTAAATATTTCAGTACCTCAAATTTCACATTTATCACTTGTTTCTATATTCGATTCAAAGGTAAGAATAAATTGAAGTATCCAATTTGAAAATTGCCAGCAAAGTACAAGAGATTTTCAGATTGCCTCGTGGATTTCAACATCTGAAGAACGAGATGCATGAACGTCAAGTCTCTAAGTGGTATCACGCCGAGAAGAAAACTATTTACATTTCCCTTGTTCTCTCGCGTTTCACTTCTGTGAAAGATTGAAAAAAAATTAAAAGTTGAGAATTCACCGGAAGAACATGAATTTTTTCTCCTCTTTCATTATTCAGGCTAATCCTTCATAAGCTCTGAGGTTAGCACACCTGGTGCTAAATTCCCACTGCTGTGCCCACGACCGCAAGCTCAGTAATGGTGAATAAATAATGATAAGAGTGAAATGTATAAGAGAAAATGAATTAGAGAATTGTTGGGAGAGACCATGTAAAAGATACTTAGATATTTTTAAATTAAACTCCTGATGTTCACTCAAGAACGTCAGAAACTGATACCCTTCATTCAGTAAATTAACTTGTTGCAATTTTACATTTGGTTGGATCAAGCAAGACTTCTTTCTTTGGAAGCATGTGTTCTTTTCCCTCATTGTATGATTAGGGATTTTCATGAGTTCTATCAAATGCAGTGATTTGCGAAGAAGGAAGTGGACGTACTCAATAAAAAGGAAAGTACTGAACTCGATGAGATATTGTTTTTAGAAAAATTCATTTTCAGGACAAACTAGAGCGAACGGGGAGACATTGATATCCACTCCTTATCATTCCACGTAAGTCAAAAAACAGTAAAAATTAATAAAAACTGCGTTTTTTTAAAAATCGGGAATACCTTAAGCGGATAAGCGTTTAGCGAGTTTCCAGCAACGTCGCGTCCTGTGCAATTTCATTTATAATAATATGAGAAAAAATAATTCATCTGTCCGAAATAATTTTTTTTCTTCAGGAATTTTGGGAAATATGTTGTTCTAAAAATTACTATGTTTTTTTAGACACTTCAATCGACAAAGTCAATTTTTTTTTACTTTTCCGGTTCGCCATTCAATTGTAATTAAGAAAAAACGACACGCGGCGGGGTTTTCCTCATAGGGTGACCATCCAGGTTTAATATGTTTTGCCTCTTTGCTACTGATTTGCACTCTACATTTAGAATAAGTTGAAATAGATTAAGAAAAATCTATTGAATGACGGTTGCTTGTTTCTTTTGATGATAAAATTGATGTCTTCATCTGGAATGGAAAACCAAAATGGTTACCTAGACAATCCACTGGGAACTATGCCCACCACTATGTATTATGATCTAAAAGGAAACTACGCGTTGAATTGTGGGATACACGTACACGTGATGCACCACTGAGGCAATTGGAGCAAGAACAATTACTAATACGTCATTTTTCTTCCCACTAAAGTTATCGCTGAAGTTGCACGATCCCGAGACTATTCCTTATGACAATTGACAGAACATCACTGTCCATCCGATCATAGAAAAATAGTATATTTAGTCATTAGGCCGAAAAAAACTTTTCTGGCGAATATGAGGTTTGCAGCACGAGCCGAAGGTGATGGCTGCAATCATACTCATCAGGAAAGTTTTTTTTGACCGTATGACGAACAATATTTTCTGTCATGATGGCCGTAGGCAGAGATTCACGGACACGGAGCGAAGACAAAAAATGATTACTGAGACAAATAAATATCAAGTGTTGATGGAAAACTTACTCTCATCGGTCTGTGGCGCCGAAAGGATGGCGCTGTGCTTCTTCTTCACCTCCTCGACGTTCGTTTGGATATTGTCAATCATTTCGCGGATTTCCTCCACCTGTTTAAAAAAGAAAACATCAGAGGTCGGGAGTTAAATTCACATGAGAATATTTTTATCACAGTGCAGTTGGATCTTTCTCCTTTTTTCTGCTAAAAAACAGACATATATGAGACGCTTGTAAAGTTAGGCTCAAACCGTATACAAATGAAATAAAAATAAATGCATAGTAAGTGATGAACGAAGGGATCAAACTAAATGTTCCTATTACACAATTAATAAACAATCCGAATCGAATTCATCATATTTTGTCACTTCAGAATGAAAATATCAACATCAGGGAAAGGAAAAACAAGCGAACAATCCAAATCTGAAAATTGTCACTTGGAACGGGACCACCCTTAAAATAATCTCATCGTGGAATCACACGAGGCACAACTCTCAACATGTAGACAAGCGCAACAACATCAAAAATAACAATAGGGAATGCATTCACAAAGTGTTCTGTTAGGACTCAAACTTTCCACTATCAGAACATGAGCGAAATGATTTCAAGGAGAAACAATTGTCGAAACATTTGATAAAGAATAGATGGATATGTAACGGAATATTTACTCTTCGGATAAAATTATAAGATAGAATGTACTATGATGCACCCATCCAATAAATGAATAAACAGTAGATTGAATAAACATTGGGAACGATAAACTAATTAATAAAGTGACCACCTATTTCCAAGATACGATATTCTTTGTTATCTTCTGGGATTATAGACTAAAGAAGTTTAAGAGGGCTTGATAATGGCATGGTTGTAAAATTATTTGCAATTAACGATGACATGAGGCTTTGTGGTGTGAATAGCCCAGCCCAGACCGAAGGGTAAGCCAATGCCTAATTAAATGAATTATGAATTGTAGCTGAGGGCCCTAGGTCCAGCGAAACTGAAAAGTCTCTTAAACCGCAATCCATACTACCGTGCAGTGTGTTAGTCAACTCGGTGCTGTTTGATGCCCATCAAAAGTATCGATTACACTCGTATCGGCGTAATGTCAGTAGTGTATCAGTAACAAAATTTGTCTGACTGTCCCCTGTTAGAATACCACGTCGAAGAAGTTATCTTCAATACTTGGCGCCTGTCAAGACGACCTCAATTCATACCAAGGGAAAAGCGGATTTCTCTAGGGAACAAGAGCCTATTTCATGGAGGAAAACTCTTAACCTAGTTTCAAGAGAACACGAGGAATCAAAGAGATCTGAAATTTCAATAGGAAATAGGCTGAAAACATATAATTCAGCAAATTAACCTTCCTGAACTAGCTCAATGAGCAAAGCGCCGCCTTTTCTCGATTTTTTCTTGTTGGATGCAAAATTATGTATGAAAAAATTTGTAAAAATTACAATGCCTAGTTCAAACCCTCTAGAATGGACTGGTAAGATTCCTATCCCTTGAAAACCCCATGAATACTATGAAAAATAATAATTTAGTGAGACTGGTACGGAAAAGCGGCGCCTCGCCGCCCGGAGCCAGTGGACTCGTATAGTGGGATTTTAGCCGCGCTGGTGCCACGTCGTTCGTTTCAGTTGACATACTCGGAACGTCAACATCTCTATGACGTGCCGTAGTTGGCGTCTCATAAAATAAGCGAATTTTTTTTTTAGAGCATAAATGTGTTTAATTCGAGAAAAATGTGTGCAGTGTAGATTTTTATTCACGTATGGAGCTCCAATATGGCAACACCGCGCTAACCGTAACACGGGCGGCGGATATGAGTTTGCAGTCCAAGCCGAAGGCGAGGGTTGCAATCATATAAGCTAGGAAAAAGTTTTTTTAGGCCGTATGTCGAATGATATTTTTGATCATAACGGCCGTAAGCAGCGATTTACGAACGCGTAGCGTTCATAAATCAATCAGAATTCAATTAGTCTCAAGTTCCGTCAACACGGGCTGGATTGTGGAATAAAATGAATCCAACACTCGGAAAAAGGGGTCATTTGAATCAACAAAAATTTTTGTTGAATTCAAGAAAATAATTTATTTATTCCAATTTAAATGATTTGTTAAAATCATAAATAATTTATTCGTTTCAAATAAGGTTTTTTATTTGAATAAAATCGCATTTTCATGTATTCTGTGAAAGAAATTGGAAATTATGTTCAGCCGTATTAGCGTGCCAAATAGTGTAGGAAAAGGCCGTTCTACTCTACCTTATTCTCCCCCCATAATTATGCCATTTTTTCTTCCTATTGTTGTCGAGTCAATTTCAATCCCGGAGTGATAATAAATTATTAGTATTATATAAATTTGCATTAAGTTCAAAGAAAAAATGTATTCAATTCATATAAAGGATTTTCTGTACTGCTCACTATTTCTCGTCTGGGAATTGGTATTGCAGACTTCTTAAACTCTAAAATTTGAAAATCACTACAAAAAAATCTTGTCCCGGACTGTTGCGATGGGGTTCTTTTCACTCGTGTTGTGTTGGTGTCCGGGCCGAAGGCGAGGACTGGCCAACCACACGAGTGGAAAAACCTCGCCTTCGGCTCGCACGCCAACACCACACGAGTAAAAAACCCCATCGCAGCAGCCCGGAAAAATACTATTTGTTAATATTTATACGTTTATTTGAGTGAATGAACCAATAATTTTTGTAACTGAAGGTTCAAATCAGAGTTAAAATGTTGAACAGAAGAAACAAAACGTATGAGTGTAATCTTTTATTAACTTTACTTTTTTTTCTTCACACATAAATACTTGTTATGAACATTTTTTTATATAAATCTCACCTGTTAATCCTCGATTATAGAACTAGCAAAAATATGGCATTCATTATGAATAATTGGTGCTAATGATTTTTTCTTATAAATTCCCTCAGTGGAATAAATTAGAAAAAATATTGGTGGTTTCATAGATTTATCGGGGTGAAAAAAAATAAAAACGATTTGTATGGATTGGCACCGATGAAATAGGAAGCTACTGAAAGTTTGATTTTTTTTCTTACATTTATCAATAGTTATACACTGTAAAAGTAGTGATAGCGGTCCCACAGACCGACAGTTCAGTGTGAAAGTTAAATGAACTTATGTATTTAATTCAAATAAATAATTTTTCTGAGTCATTTTTCATGATTCACACAAGTGGAATTGTTCAACAAAATTTCGTTTATAACATATTTGTCATTCGGCCGTTACGCGCAGTCTCAAAATGTGCTGTTTTGTCTATATATTATGAAACACCTTTATCTATGATGAATGATCTTAGAGATTATGAAATGTGTAGATATCATGACATTTACACATTCGATATTCGAGGTTATTACTATAACTATTAGCTACAAGATTAAGATAAAGTAGTTAAAAATGTCTCTCAATAAATATTTTCTGCTTTTTTAGGGATATTTGTCGTTAATCTATAGATGCATGTCAAGCTCATTAATTTCACCAATGCACTAGTTATTTTATCAATTGTTATCCGCACATACTTAGCGAAAATTCACGCGATGGACGAATTCCCAAACTATTCATCAATTCACAAGTGTAGGGGAAAAGAACTCAAACGGAGGAATTCCTGAGAATAGAAGCATTAAGTGTAATACTCACGAAGGGATTTTAGAGAATCACGAAAAGAAGAAAAGAGGAAGACAGAAAAAAGTGATAAAAGGGAATGGTACAGATTCTCAAGAGTTGCTCGGAGTATACATAGCCGGGTAGATAACGATTTCTTTCCGGCTGATCGAGTCTCCGAATCAAATCGGTCTGCATGTGAATGTAAGGGAATCCTCATGAATCATCCGAAAATGCCATTTGGTAAGTCTCTCAGAGTGAAGATGCAGAAAAATGGAATTGCTTTGTGGAAACTAAATTCAATCTCTCAAATTTCTGCATTTCTCTGATCTCCTTCCCCTGCATCATTTAAAGCTATTTTTTCCTTATGCCAAAAATAACGCCAAAAATGTGAAAACATATTGATTGCGTAGATCTTAGCCGTACAAGTTCCCAATTGCTTGTATATTTCATGCAGGAGAAAAATGAAAAACAAATTTCAATTTTAATGTGTTCTTATATAAAATGACGAAAAAATTTAGCTCCGCAAAAAATAGTGCCAAAAATCTGAAACTTCGCTGATTTAATTTATTGCGAAAAAAATGTTACGAAAATAGTGAAGTTAAACGTTCTTAGACCTTCCTAGTGACCAAACTTTTTCAAACTCACTGTATGGGGAATTCTAACTTCCAAAAGCTCGAATGAAGTGGCATACAGGAACAGCCTTGAGATAGCGACTAGCATTGATAATAATGGAATTACTGATATTCAATGATAACAATAAAATATAGTCATTTCCTCGTAAAAATTTCATAATTAATCCAACCGCTTACATTCATAACGGTATCTCTTTTGCATGTGTTGAATTTTAGAATCGTCTTTGTGTCCATAGTTGTTAATTTTTTGAAACCAAAAACTTCAGGCACTGCACAATATAATGCTGTGGGCGATTGAAAATTGCTTCGTTTCACAAAAATCAATTAATATGGTCACGAGGACGATTCTAAAATTCAATACAAGCAAGGTGTTGTGACTGTTTACTGCTTAAACCGTCACAATAGGGTACGTGTTCCGAAGAATCACACGTTGTTAAGGGTTAAACGAGAGAGACACGTGGAATAGTTAGAAGGCTCAAGCAAGTTGCAGGGGAAAGATCATTTGGATTTTAGGATTATTTTTTTCGTCTCTCCCAATTAAACTTTTGATATATTTTGCTCGGCTCACCCGCTTCATCCATAGAAACCTCAGTATCATTATGCTCGTCTCTCCCGTTTGATGTATTATTTCTTATTACTTTTAATTACTATGAAGAATGTTCCATCCATCAGATCACTTCTCGCTTTCTTCTTTTTTGAGTTCAGATTTTTTGACTTAACTATTTTTTGCGCATACTGAATTTTTTTAGTATTTTCGTGACATCTTTTGGAACGGAAACTTAAGAAAGTGAAAGTGTTCAATTGTGCTATTCCACGTTATTTAAATGAAAAGTTTCATTTTTTCTAACTTCAATACAATCAAAA